CGATGGGGAGTGTGGGGCACCGCAAAATTGAAATCTTGCACCATTTGGACCACTTGCACCATCTCCTTTCGTGAAATGATGCAAGTGGCGCAAGTGGTGCAAGACTGCAAGATTCGCCACTTCCTTCATCGTGAAATCAGCAAGATTGCAAAATGAGCAACCTTACCTGCAATCTTGCCCCCAAAACCATCAAGCAAAACAACAACATTAGCAACATCTTGGCCCATTGGCGATCCGCCCAGGATTCGCAAGATTTGCAATATTGACCAAGATGGGTAAAATCTTGGTCCCAAGAGCGCGCTGCGTTTCGCACAATGTAGTAGTACTAGTAGTAGTAGTAGTAGTAGTAGTAGTAGTAGTAGTAGTAGTAGTAGTAGCAGTAGTAGTAGTAGTAGTAGCAGTAGTAGTCGTAGTAGTAGAAGTAGAAGTAGGAGCAGTGGGAGGAGGAGTAGCTGTCGTAGGGTAGTAGTCGTGGTAGTGGTAGTGGTAGTGGTGGTGCTGGTGGCGGTGGTGGTGGTAGTGGTAGTAGTAGGTAGCAGTAGGTAGTAGTAGGTAGTAGTCCGTGGAAGTTGGAGTAGTAGTGGTAGTAGCAGTAGTCGTAGCAGTAGCAGTAGTCGTAGTAGTAGTAGTAGTAGTAGCAGTAGCAGCAGTAGTAGTAGTAGTAGTAGTAGTAGAAATGGTCGTAGTAGCAGTAGTAGTAGCAGCAGTAGTAGTCGTAGTAGTAGTGGTGCATTAGCAGTAGAAGCAGTAGAGTAAAATAACAGTATACGTCAAGTATATGAAGTAGGAGTAGAGTAGGAGTAGTAGAAGTAAAGTCCTAGTAAAGTAGAAGCAGAGTAGTAGTAGTAGTAGTAGTAGTAGTAGTAGTAGTAGTAGTAGTAGTAGTAGTAGTAGTAGTAGCAGTAGTAGTAGTAGTAGTAGTAGTAGTAGCAGTAGTAATAGTAGTAGTAGTAGTAGTCGTAGTCGTAGTAGGAGTAGGAGTAGTCGTCGTCGTAGTAGCAGTATTGCCTTCGGGGTGTGATTTTCAGATTCTTGCCTTCCTAACCCGTCCTTCCAAACTGGTGAAACTGGCTACTGCTGCCGCCACTCTTCCTCCTCCTCCTCCTCCTCCTCCTCCTTCTGCTACTGCTGTTGGCTTTAATCTTGCTTGTGCTGCTGCTACTCTTGCGACTCTTACCAATTCTTCTGCTGCGACTACCATCCATTTACCACTCCTGCTGCCAGTACTAGTATTGGGCCGAAAAAATGAATGCTGCTATTCCTGTGTTGCTTCTAGTAACTTAGTAAGAGTCTTGTTCTTAGTTAGATAAGATACGGTAAATTGTGGGTCTTATTGTCAGACAGGGTCTTCCACTAGATCGGGTTCCCCATTATTAGACAGTGGCTTTCCTATCGGACAGGGCTTTGCTATTAGCCAATGGTTTTGCAATTTTACAGGAGAGAAAATCACGACCCAAAGTCAACACGGGAGCAAGCTGGCGTTTCGTCGTCGTCGTCGTCGCAGCAGTAGTAGTAGTCGTCGTACTAGTCGTAGTACTCCTGTTATCGTAGCAGTTGTACTTGTAGGAGCAATTGGAATTAGTCGTATTAGTAGTCTCGTCGTCGTAGTAATAGGAGGGCAGCAGAAACTTCTTGAGCTGCAGGCGCAGCATGGAGCAGTAGCTGCTCGCAGCACGAACTATTGAATGATAGTGAAGGGCATTGTGTTGTTTCTGTCAGTTGCATTTCAGGGCTTCCCATCCCGTTCCCGTTGTCTCATGTTCTACCGCACGCGCCCTCCACCAAGCTGTTAATATTCCAGTTTTGGCGATCGCTCGCGTGCATGCACGTAAGTAGACCAATGTCTTAGATGCACGTTTGGACACGGGCAAACATCCATGTGCTATCTTCCTTGGCCGATTTCACTGCAGCGTGATATCGCGATGTTGAGGCAGGGGCAGCTTGTGCAGCCTGGGTTCCTGCCATCACGAACCTGGGCAGCAAGGTTCCAAAGATAGGCAATATGATCTGCGTGGCTTTTGGTGTCTCCAAGAGTAGGACCAAATCTCCGGAGTCTGTGCATCCTGCACCTTGGAACAAAGGTTCGCACGCTTTGCCAATCACCCGAAGGCTCTGATCGAGGCTCGCTGCCAACTGTGAGACTGCTTTCAAAGCTTCAACAGCAGCTTGCAGGACCTTGTCAAATCTTCTCGTATGTGCAGCTCTGGCTGCATACAAAGGGTACAAGCTGGTCGCCTGCACTGCACGAGCACTTCCATCTCCCGACGCGACAACGACGATCTTGGCAAAGCGAGAAAGATCCTGAGATAAAGTAAGGGGTATCTCAACCTGTCCTGAAGTCCTTCGCAGCGCACCTCCTCGATTGGCACCTCAGATGAGCCTTGGCTCATATTTGGAGCTGTTACTGGCAAGATCCACGCAGCTGCAGGGTGGTCATTCGAGGCTTCTGCACTCGATTCCTGCTGCAAACGGGCGGTGCCTGCTCAACAGGGACCGATACTCAACACGAAAGCTTCGAAGTTGCATCCGAGCCCTCTTGTTCTTGCAGCTTTTCCGCCTTGTCCCGATTTGTCACATAGTAGGCTACACCAAGACCGTTCTCAAAGTGAGACAGCACCATCACTGGAGGGAGTCTCTGCACCTTTGACTGGAACTGCCAGTCACCACCAACAGCGTGCAGCACCTGAGAGACGCGGCTGCTGGAGTTTTTTCTGCTTCTGCTTGTCAGAGGGGTCCGTCCGAGCCGTGTTGGTCCGTTCTCTCAGCTCGAGGCTCTTAGCAAGTCCGGTGGTGGCAGAGTTTCAACTCGAAGGCCACCGAAGCTCCCAAAGATCTCCAACCGGCCCAGGTGACACCATGGCCTTGCTAGGCCGAAGACTGCGCGTGAGCGCAGATTTGCCCGCTGGTTTCCGAAACGGCCTCAGGATCTGCTGAAGCAGGAGTCGCTATGCCCTTGCTGAAGGGGCCTAAACCTGGTTGCAGCCTTCTCGCTTCGGTGAGACAACGCACCGCATGTGAAGGACAGCATCTTCACTCTAGCGATTGCATGCTAACTGCTGACCTCCATGCACCGCGTAGAGTGACTTTCAATGTACTGGTCAAAAAAAGTTCAAGGTTCCGAGTCATTTTATGATCATTGTATGGTCTCTTAATTGCATGCCATGGATTGCATGTTCAATGTTGGAAGCAATGCCGAGAGATCTACTTGTCATTGGTGAAATGCTCAGGTGCCTGTTTGTGCCTACGATGCCAGGTGCACCATGTTTGGAGAGTCCAATGACACTAGCTTCCAAAGCCGCAGACCGCACTAGGCTCAATTCTAGCAGGACAGCTCAGGCAAGGGCGGTCACCCCAAACCGGGAAGCCCAGAAGATGTAGATGCCTCGGCTTTTGACATTCCTTCTGAAACATCTGCACCGTGTTGTTTTGCGTGTCGGGCCTGCAAACTTGCGACTTCGTTTCGGGTCCGCGAACGGAAGCTCGAAGCAGGGAGCCTTGTCAGCCAGGGTGTTGCAGCACAGTCCGTTACATGGTGTGACCATGAAGGGCCTGTGTCTGAAGGTACAGTAAAGGAGCAGTCTTCACCTTCCCATAAAGTATCCAGCTGCGTTTCAGCATCTTGCTTTGGCTTTCCACGTGCTGGTCGCAATGCAGCCCGACACGAGGACACCTTGGCGCCCGTACAAGGGTTTCACAGCCGCAACACAAGCGAATAAAGTTGATCTGATCACGACCCTCCTGCTTACCAAGATGCTCCTGCAGGTCTCCCAGCCACCAGAATGAAGTACTCCAAAAGGCAATGGGACGGTGACTCTTGCCGAGTCATGGTGTACACGGCAGGACCGCTGACTTCAGCTTCCGGAGCACAAAGCAAATGTTCCTCACTTTCCATGACTGACGCCGTGGCTTTTGAATGCAAAAGACTTGCAGCAAGGAGCTCCTCCGCCATGCTTGCAAATGTGAGATTACATAAGGCTCACAACAACATGAATTTACAATTCTCTCGGGGCTCCTCTCATCATGGCTACGCTACGCGAATCCGTGCGAATGTGACCATGCGGGGCACGACTTTACTGCAACGGAACCCCTTGCATGATTGATTTGGATACAAGGCAGGCGGGCGGCGTTTATTTTGTTTGTCGTCTGCTTTGTTAACGTTGGCAGTCAGGAGGAAACGACCTCCGTCTTGACATCGTGCTCCTGCGAAACACTTTAAACCTTGCATGGCATGTCAAACTGTCTTGCACGTGACCTCCCTAAGTCCATGACCAAGGACAGTGCACGCACACACGCACGCACGCAAGCACACACACCCACACCTACACACACCACCCAGACTTCTGGTCATGTGTTCTAAAGAGCGATATCAACTCAAGACTGAGTTCAGAACACAGTTGAAACCAGTAAGAAGAAAATGTTGTGGGAGGTCCCTCAATAGGCTCGGGTTTCTTTGCTGGCATGTAATAATGAAAGAAGCCAAAGAACACCTGTTACCTTTCACCTGAATCTTACTCTCTATCGCTGCTGCAATGCCGAGATATCACCTGACGCTGCGTGCATAACTTTTTCCAACTGCGACATTGTCTTCTTGTTCGGTTCTGCTAGATCTTGCCGCCCTCTTAGTCTGCATGAAACCAGCACAGCAAAGATGTTGTTGATGCCAGTGATGGTGATCCCCGTCTTCTTGTGTGTAGGACACGTGCTGACATCGTTGCACTCGATATACATGGTAATCTTGCCGCGCTTCTTCACATCTGCTGCAGTTGGAATTGCACCGGATCCCTCCGAACATGTACCTGGTGGAAGTTCGAATCCTTCGGGCGATGTACTCTGCTAGCTCCATCAGCTGTGTGATGTTGAGCTGGTTCACGATGTGGTACATGTCATTGAGTTGTTCGCAAGGAACTTCTCGGTGTGTCACAGGTGCATCTTTCCATGCCCCGCGTCCGCGGCTCATGATATCAAGCAGGGATTAAGGAGGCGGGAGAGAAGTTGAGGCGAAAATGCTTGCGAAGTTGCAACAACGAGAAAGCGTGGACTTGCATTCTTTTAGCTGGGTGGCTTGTTTGTTCTGCAGTAGGAGTGACACGGTGCGGTAGGGCTCGCTAGGTGTATTGACCAACTCAGAGCGCTGCCGCCACTGCTACTGACGATTGCGTGCCGGTCCAAAGTTGAAGGTCGGCGCGTCGAAGTGTGTTCCGAACTACTTACGGGCAAAGCTCATGGCTGCTTGGTATCTTTGGTCTGAGCCTGAGCCTTCGTAGGTTGTGGACCTGCTCGGTGGGGTGGTATAGGGCTTGTGTGAGGTCCATGTCGCTGATTGCAGTTTTTGTGCTGCGCCGGATGACGTTGTTGGTGAGGAGCAGGCATTGTGCAGCTTGTGGTGTGATCAGCTGCTTGATCAGGGCATGATGTAGACGGTGATCTCGGTCAACCATCTTGTGGCAGACTTGTCTGTGTTTCTTGTAGATATTGTCAAAGGCGCTGGCTACGACATCACTGTCGCGATCTGCCGCGTCCATGCTGCTGTCGATGTCTGCATCATTTCGGAATACTACTAGTCGTACATGAACTTCGCGATGGTACTGCAGTATCATCCTTGGCTTAGTGGAAGATGCCGCCGACGGCGCGCGTCTTGCAGCGATTGTGTAGGTTCGGCCAGGTCACAACAGAAGTTGTCTATCGCGAGGTGCAATGTTGGCCGCTCTCTGGCACTGCGCGATGAGCGTATTTGCAGTTGATGGGGCTTGGGCCAGTTGGTCGAATGCAAACTGGTGTTGAAACAATACCTGTTTCTGCTCACACATAACCTTTCCCATTTGCATCTTTGGGCACCTCGTCTTCTTCTGTGGCTGCACGAGCGGTCTCATAGGACCCTCCAAGGTGTTTGCGCAAGGAGCCCCACGCCTTGCCGTTGATGACGATGCCCGCCAAATTCTTCGCGCTGCGAGCTGCGTTAAAAATGACTCTGCTGATGTTGTACTCATCGATCTCTGAGCCGCTGTCTTGATGTCCGAGGGCATAGAAGATGCTACACCCTAACTTTTCGACCCGTGGGCATTCATTGGCAACATGTCTCTGTCCTTGAGCATGTTCCAAAGGGCACCGTCGTCCGTGGCGTGGCGCCCTCATATTATCCTCTCTGCTTTCGTAGGCAACGGTGGATCTCTGGTGACCACGTCTTGCGACTGCCGAAGGCAATACCTGCGCATGGACTCCGGCGTCGAATCCGTGCCTCTGTTTCAGGCTAAGTAGTGTTCAAGTAGAACACCTCCGGACACTATGAATCTGGTAGATGCACACAGTGCCTCCACATAGTACTTCATGCTGTCCTGAATAGGGAACCGCTCAACTTCGAAGGAGTCCCAGTCCACCGTGTAGTACTTGAGGTTTCTGGAGGAGGAGATTTTAGCGGGCATCTTTGGAGTCTCGTACAGGTTCATTGTTGGCGGTGCCTTGGACGTTGCTGCCGCAGATCTTGCTGGCCTACTTGCCTGGGGTGTCAGAGATCTGGATGCTCGAGGTGTAGGAGATCTGGATGTTGCTTGAGGTGTACAGGATCTGGAATCTGGATGTTGCCCGAGGTTTACGACATCTGGAGGTTGTTCGTGGTGCTCGGGATCTGGAGGTTGCCTTCCTTGCTCTGGGTCTTGACCGTAGAGTAAGGACTGGTCTGGAGGGCTCTGTTGATTCATGCCTTTTTGGAGTTTTGGAATCTATTTGCCGAGGTGTTCTTCAGCGCATTCCCCGAAAGGAGCGTGGTGAAGATGGTCTCGTAGTAGTTCTCGTAGTTCTCACGGGCGATCTGGAACTTCGTCTCCCTTGAGGTTCCTGCTGAGGTTGCGTCTTGGGGCGCTTCTGTGCCAAAAACAGCCTGGATGGTGTCCTGGAGTCTTGTAAGTCTTGTAGGGCGAGAGGCTGCTCGGTTGCCGTGGGTCGTGGTGTCGCCGCTCTATCTGCTGCTCCTGGTTGGTCACCCCGTTGGTAGTACGGCCACGGTTAGAGGGTGCGCCCTTGATGTAGTCGTGGTGCTCGCTGAAATGCAGCAAAAGGTTGCGTTTTCATTTTGGGCCGCACCCCGCTGGAAGGCTCTCCAGCGCGATCTGTGTCTGCCTCTGTAGACGATTGTATGTCCTCCCCCCCCTCTGGGGTGTAGCTTCTGTGCTGCATCCAACTTAGGCTGGGACAATATCAAACTTGGGGAGCGCCTGGTAGCAGCTGTTGTGGTCATCGCTTGCCGTTGCAGGGGTGGTCTGCTCCTGCTTCTGCCGGAGGTATGACTGAGTGCTGCGAAGGCATCGAGAACATCCGCCGGTTTCTGCACGTTCTTGATTGGGATAGGGATCTCCATCGCTTTCCGCTTCCGACTTGACCCCTCTCTTAATCTAAAACTACTAAAAAGAAAAAACGATGAAGGCAGTCAAGGATCGGTACTTCATGTGTTCATGATCTGCGTTTCCGCTTGGTTCAACTTCTCTTGAGCTCAACAAACTTTCTCAT